CCCCCCCCCCCCCCCCCCTCCCCCCTCCCCCCCCCCCCCATTGCCCTTATCACAAATTGTTATTTATTTCAGCGTTTATATTTACCAATCTTTCATGCACTGGAGTTGGTGACTCATTTTGAAAGCAGCTCATTGTTAGAAGAAGGAGATAGTTACCTAATCAACTTCTGTGCAATGGAATGGACGAAAGTGCTTAGCATTGCATGCATGCCCAATTTATAAGTTAATATTTATATCAATGTGAAATACCAAAAACTGCACTTGCAGAAGAAAAGGGAAAGTGAGATATTTTTATTTCGTTAGGAGTTAAGGTTCCATGGCGATTTGGAGATAGTTTTATTGCTTTACATGAACAAAACATCAAATCCACTTATACTTTCATCGCCATTTATTTCAAAATCCAACTCAAATTTACTTGGCACAAGTAGAAAATTTACGCCTCAACTTCTGCATATGTTTAAAGGATGGCAGCATATTTCTTTGGTATAACTTGTTTTGTTTTTACGCCTTAAATAATAATTTTAAGTGTTTAAATCGCTGCATTGACTTTTTTGTTTATCTTTTGGGTAGATTTTAGGATTCTTTTTCACGTTCTCTTCCACTTTTCTCTGCTAGAATGGTGTTTTACTAATTTGCACTTTGACCGCTACAATCAAGTTTCCTTTATGGTGAAATCACTCTTGGCTGCTAATGAATGTCAAATCACTGTTGGATTGATAGTGGAGAATAGAATAGAATAGAATTCGCCGGCAATTATATGTATGATAGGCAAGAATGATTTTTTTATGTCCATACAGAATTAAAGTATGCTTCCTTAGCGTTTGAGTTATGTCTGCCAGTGTTGAAGCAGAATTCGTTATCTTTAATTTAATGTCAGAAGTTAATTCGTCTTATTTGTCAGTAAATAGAACTATTTTGCCTCACTAGTCTCTCGACTTCCTTTCAATTTGCTCACATTAATGGAATCATCTCGTCTCCGGTTCCTTCCTTATTGGCAAGAGGCTTCCTCCATAGTTGTTGATTTAGTTGAACTTCAAAATGTCCTGTTTAGTTGCAAACTTCCGATCCTATTTGTGAATATGGTGTCGGAGGTGGATGTCACTAAGTACCCTGTCTTCCAATCAATTTAAAGTGACTTAATTGGCCATTGTCTTTCTGAATCTTTTGTGGAACAGAACTCTATTGAACCAATTCTGTACGTATGGGTTGATTGAAAGGTAACTCTCGGTACCAAAATCAAATCAGTGAATTGTTATTTTGCTAAAGCATATAGGATAAACCTACAATCTTTTCTTAAGCCTCCATCTACAGTTTCTTAAGTCGCTTGCAAATTCATTAAAAAATGTTTTAATTGGATTTTGCATATCAATTCTTTGCGGTCTTGCATCGATCTGATAGTACGCTTCCATAATGAGACACTGCAACTCTACATTAGAACTTCACGATGTGCCCTTCTTGTACATTCCACTATCGGGAGATATCTACTGGTAGTTTCAATCGTTCTAAAGGTCGATTAAACCAAAATCTTCCAACAATGGCGACTAATCTAGAATTCATCCTCTCGTGTTGTTGATCACTTACTCTTTCCTTCCATTTTCATATTACGCTAAAAACTACCCATCTATCTTATGTAAGAATATTTCCCTATTGTATTGGCTTATTGCGATATCTCAATGAGGTATTTGAATGGCCTAAACCTTGGCGACAGTTTAGTTTCAGCTACTCATCTTGGTGAAATTATTTATTGGCGTTGGAGGTAACTTGGAGATGAAGGAACCGGTTACTTCCTTATTTATTTACAATTAGCGAGATTAAAAGAAAGTTAAAAATGGACCTGCCTCGGACACAGGATCCAATCATCGGGGAGATACTTCCAATTGGTGATTGCAACCTAAAAGCAGCAAAGATCCCCAGAAAGAGCATGTCTAGACGTCTTAGTATTGTGAGTCATTTACAACTGCTTAGGTAGACAAGCGGAGCATTCGTCGATTGAAGAGAGGGTAATCATATTTAAGTCTCCCTGGCTAAAAATTAGTTAATCATGTGAGCTGAATATCACATTGATGATAGTCAGTATCTTGAGCCCTATCGCGCCCCTCTTAGATGAATCAGTCACAGATTAGCAAACTACCTACTTTCTGGGCTTTGTAGTAAATCTAATCTGATGGAAACGTGATTGTCTCACTCCTATAGAGTTGATGGTTACAGAGGTAATTTTCCGGAGAGTTATAGGCATTTACTTGCTTGACACGCAAGTAGCCAAACAGATGGCGAAAGCAGCAGCAGCAGCAGTGCCAGTAGTATGGTTCGTATCCTTCCTACCCCCAAACTACCACTCGCCGCTAGCATGAAAGTTGGTATTAAAATAAAGTAATGGCTCACAGTAGGCTCTTGGGAAAATATGCCCATGTAATTATCCCTTTCTCCCCTATCCCCTACTCTTCGGACTGAACTAAAGTCAATCTCTCTTCTTCCCCCCCCCCCCCCCCTCCCTTTAATGCTATTGATCTAGTCGATTTTGTGCCTAACTGCTGTTCACTACATTCACTTTTGACCAATTCCTCTTTCTCCAAAAACTGGCTATTAATTTCTTCGTTTTTATTATCCTCTTAAACGATTTTAATAAGAGGAAAAGAAGAGAATTAAATTTTGCCAAAGTTATCATTGCGTGCTGTTTTGTGCGTGTCGAAATGCGATAATCTTCAAAGTCAGTCAAAAGTGAGTCTATCTCAGACGATCAGATGGTGACATTTTTGATTGCTGAAATCGTCTCCCTTCATTGGCTTGGATTGGTTTGTCAGGTTGTGACATAGGCTGTGTTCCGGATTTTCTCTCTTGAGGTTTTGGAACGAATAAATCAATCGAGTACTGTGTAATGGTCGTGATTGTGGATTTTGGGGGTTTTATTGTTCAAAGAAATTGCTTAAACTCCTTAAATATTTTTGCAAATTTATTAAACAACGTGGCTTTGATAATAGTTTCTTACATTTCTCTTCATAGCTATCATTAATCTCAATGTCACTGAAAATGTACAAGCTTTGCTGATTGGAAAGCATGTGTACGGTGAAGCGGCAAGCGACCCGATTAAGGTGTATAACGAAAAAGGACATTCATTTAGGGATAGGCACTAGAGTCCAAGTATCAGGAGCCTTATTTTGTTTGAATTCTGGTGAATTGAGAGTTCCCACTGCAATGTCTTGTTGTGTAATGTTCGTCTTTCCGCTCCGAGGTTTATTAATGCGGTTATATCCAAGATGTCCTAAGCTCATTTACCGGTGGGTTTAGTTATATACGCCTGCTAGTGCGCTCCCAATTTACTTATATCTCGTTACAGCCACGCTGTATTTAGCAGCACAATTCACTCAACATAAACTGCCATTCCCAATTCCGTTTATAGCTCCAGTTCCCTGTCTGCCTAACTTTGGGTGCAACCTTTTAACGTTAAATCACTTCAAATCTAATCAGAAATGCATTGAAAAGCCCTGACTGCTAATTAATGTCTTTCACTTGTTTGAGAAAGAATGCCTTGCCTATAGGCAACAATTGTCTCCCTTATTTTAATTCGTTAATTTATATAACTCCTTCATTCCTAAGAGTCTATCTTTCGTAATTCCATTAAAAGGGGCACATGGATTTGGACCCCATAAGTAATGGCTATAATGGACAATATAGCCACTTCTCTCATCTACTGTTTATTTTTTGTACGTTTAGCTGAGAAGGAGCCGAATTGGGATGATGAAGACAGTATTCTCAACGATTTAACTTGCGTCGGTATCGTCGGTATTGAAGATCCAGTTCGGCCTGAGGTCCCACCGGCTATTCGTCAATGTCAAAATGCTGGTATCACTGTCCGTATGGTGACTGGTGACAATGTGAACACTGCTCGTTCGATTGCTACCAAGTGTGGTATACTCCGCCCGGATTCGAACTTCCTTGTTCTCGAGGGCACGGAATTCAATCGACGTATAAGAGATAAAACCACCGGTCAGGTGAAACAGGAGCTGTTCGACAAGATCTGGCCTCACCTGGCTGTGCTTGCTCGTTCAAGTCCTCAGGTAAATTATTGGTCCTTTACTCGAGGTATAATTGCATAAAGAGGTTGTCTTGTTGCTTATTCGGATGCCGATGACTTCTAGTTACTAACTAGTGTTTGAGTGTGGGACCAGAGTATCTCAGAGCAGAACACACTGTTGGTGCCTTTATAATTTTAATAGTAGAACTGTGCTCAAAGTAGCTTTGATGGCTAATTACTGTATGGATAGGTACCTTTGATCTGTAATAACCTTTGGAAAGCTGAAAAGACAGTAGACTTGACCTAATCGGAAGTAAAATCAGAAGCATTACAGACAAATTTTGCTTAAAAGAAGTCAGGTTCTGGACCAGTTTGACCATATTCAGCTGAAGTGTGTATGTCTATTTGAAATAAAACGGGGATAATAAGCTATGATATTGATAGTATTTGTGTTATCTTCGTTTCCTATGCTATGATATGAGCATGGAAGTACGTAGATTTCCTTAGCGTATTTACTGAGAGGAGAAGAAAGGGAAATCGTGAAACTCCATTCTTGAAAGCAGCATTTCTCCATACCTCCGGTTGGAGCTAAGGTTTCTTTGTCTAGAATATTCCTTTAAATTACTGAGGATGCATCATTAGAGCTTTGATTTCAGACAGGAGAGTGGGAACTGTCGATGCTGGCTGCCAAGAGCGGTGGTTTACATTCATTCCCCTTCTAGTAGTCTTCTTCCATTTTCCCATAGGCCTTGGAGATTCATCTTCTTTTAATTGTCAATATTACCAGTAGTAATTTATAAGTATATTGACACTTAACTGAATCGACCAATCGTGTTAAATTATGTCCTAAAACTTACATTATTTTTTCTAATGTGTTATAAGTGGTTCCCAGCATTATTTGTTGAATGCATTTTTCTTTGGTGCACTTGGAAACCTTGACCCCTGGCCTGAATTTCATTATACTTTGCTCGCTTTTACACTCTAATCAAAGACGCTGCTAATTTTCAAGGGGTAATTTTAGTTTCGTATAAATGGAGCCGCCAGATCGCATTTCCTGGAAGTTTCCACCAAGAGAGAAATGACGAAGCTGGTTTGTACCAAACTTCTACTGCTGTTGCAGCAACAGCAACAGCAGGGGTAGCTAGTATTCGCACATCAAATATGCGCAACTCTCTCTAAAGGGGGATAGGATACTGTCTTAACAAATTTGCTTGTTCTTTTTTTCATCACGTGATTAACTTCTGCTCTGAACCTGTCATCCACTTGAGGAATTCTTGCGTTAATGAAGACAATTTTGCCTTTTCCCCAATGTGGAATTTGACTTTGTTTCTCCCTTTGCGTTCGACTGCCTAAAATGCGGTTAAAGCACATTGCAATGACTGTTTCATAGCTTTTGTGAGGAGTGAAAAAAAACAGAGCTCAATTTTCAGCAGCGGAATTTGTTCATTCTGCTTTTTTTCTTGTTTGAAATATGCACATTTATTTCCAAATTATTTCGGCCTTCAAATTAAATAATTACGTTGCCCAAATTATGAACCAGAAAGGAATTCACCTTCTTCCCAGATAAGCTATTTTAAGAACAATTTTATAATACCCCATAAATTATTAATCTCTCCTGCACAGTTTCCTTTATCCTTCTAACGCTAATCAGGGGTTTTGTCGGGTGGTTTTTTCCCTTCTCTCAAATTTTGGTGGAATTCCGGTATCATTTTTATCTCATTTCTCTCTCTCTCGAATTCATGTGGTTATTGGAAAATATAGAATTTAAACTGGCAATAACTGTTAGCCTGTCTGGTTAGAAGCTAGCATAAAATGCGTCGGACCATTCCCATTTGTCTAGGACCAATTTTTTCGGGTGTGGGAGCCTTAACCGAATTTTAACAATTGCGAAAATCTGCCTAAGGTTAGAAGTCCACAGATTCCTGGTGTGTTGCACTGGGAATTGCGTAAAAATGACCCAAAGGGCCCCTGCGAGAAGACGCCTAAACTAGACCACACCATAGTTTGCCATTCCAATAACCCCATGTAGATACGAAAACGGGCCACATTTGACTGTCTAGGTTGGGGGGGGGGGGGGGGGGGGGTTTGAATCAATCGTACTCAAGGTAATGTGTCTCCAAGGGAATTTACAGTGGGGTCTGAGACTGGGAATCTAGTTACTCAGCGTTTCTATAATCGAATACTATTCATCTATATCTATTAAGTCAATGGTAATTGATTTTGCATTAGTTGCTAGTCAGCCGTATTGACGAGTACTACTCAAAAGAATATGAGTTTCTCATTGAGATTTCAAAATTACATTTGATTTTGGCTCATTCTCGTGTTCTATAGGAATAATTTGCTTGTTATCAATGGTAATAGTACTTAAGTGCTTCTATATACATGAGGATCATAGATTTCATCTATATATATATATATATATATATACACTGATCCATTGGAAGAATTCATGAGGCTCATCTAGAGAGGCTTATTAGCGATATAATTAGACTATTGTTTGGAATTGCGCGAATTGAAATCCAAAATTTGCCCATCTTTAAATATTTATAAATGGCACATATTTTGAATAACTTCCGAAAAAATTGTTCACAACTTTTTTACAAATCATGAATGTGAAATCTTATTGACCATTCTTTTTGTGGAAAAATTAAAAGTAAGTCATTAGTATTTAGGAATCGAATTTGCGTTACCACAGTAAGATGCCAAAGTAATAGGTGTATAGAAATCGATATTTTCTATCAAGGAACAATTTCTGCTGATAGGAGAGGCAATTGTTTGAAGTTTTTTTATTGAATCGAAAGCTCCATTAACGCAATATCCACCGTATTGCTCGGGTTATTCAACATCATTGTTGCATTTAACATTTTACAATCTCAATGAAAATGTTTTTACGAGGAGGGCTCCTGCAAACTAATCGATATGACCTGAAGCAAAAATATAAATTATTTTTTTCCAAATCTCTTTCCCAGTTATAATAATTATTTTCCAAGTTGAAACATGTAAATAAATTTATGTGGTAAATAGAATGAGCGACTGTGCATGTACCCAGACACAGTGATGGAAACAACTGTGTAACTTTTGTCATGATAGACAAATTGCTCAACACTATTTACGAGCAGTATATTTCATTTTATTGCTGACAAAGCAGCAGACAGACCTTGCTTGCTGCCTTTCTTTAATCTCTCCGTCGATATGAATTTTGGTTGATAGAATTTGAATGGTGTTCCAAAATCAGAACAATCTACGGATTTCGATGTTGGCGTGCTAAAATGTCTATTTAAATCAAATCATCGGTTTGCTTTGAGAGAATTAACGCATATCCATTAGTCGACTCCGCAATCACACAACAGTGTAACAAAGATAGGCAGAGAAACGGATTCATTTCTTTGTTGCTAAGACAAAGAATTAGTTATTTTTTACAACAAATAGGTACTGAGGCGGTAGAGAGAAGGTAGAAAAGAGTCGTTTAAGAAGACTTTATTGGGAGTTAAACAATCGTTATTTCATATCAAACACCCATTCTACCTCCCAAGCCAAACAAAGGTTGTACCTTTGGAAATTAATTTTATGCATTTGGTATGTGGAACAATGCATTGAGACTTGCTACAACCAAAAAACTAAGCGCTTGCAACTACTTGACAGGCAAAACCGGAAGTATAAAGGCAGACGTGCAACATGGTTTAACTGAAAAGAGGCAACTCTTCAGCACATAAAAAGAATGGCGTTTTGAAAAAATTCAGTAATAAAATTGGAATGTTCTAATTAGCACTTCTTTCAGGCCCATGGAGCATATTCTGAGTGAAAGATGGTTTTAAAATGCGGTTGAAGTCGGAAACTACTGGAACGGGTATTTTATTAACAAAAAACGGCAATTTTGCCCTAAAAGCGGATGAAAAGACAGAAATAGCAATGGGAAAAGTTGCAGTAAAAAAACATTTTGGTGTTACCTTTAAAACACGCCTTTTCTAATTAATTCTCCTAATACATGAGCGTTCATGTGTAGTTTCTTACACTTTTCGGTCCTAGGTTTTCCGTCTCATTTCCTAACACTGCGATTGTAATTTCTGCAATGCTTTATCTCCATTTGTTGTTCTCGAACAATTAATTTCCCAAATTTATAAAAGACTGAGTTTTCTTTTGCAAGGATTAATGTTATAGTCCTTCTGTTGAATATTTCGCAGGCCTTTGAAAATGAGTCGAGTCTCTCCATGCATATCTCCCTCTCCATCTATTCCTTAAGAAGTATATCTTACCTATTTGGGAAACACTTTCGGTTTTTAAAATAAAATGAGGGGCTTTTCAAGTGTATTAAACAAACTAAACCTTGAGATTAGAACATGTATAACGCAGAAGTGCTCTTGAAGCAACCGATATCTCAGTCGTAATGAAGTATTTTCCTGAGATAATTATAACAACTGTGGTAAGTGTGCATCTAATGACTTTTTTCTTTTTTTCTTTGCATACATTTGTAGGACAAGTACGTTTTGGTGAGCGGTATCATTAAGAGTCGCAAGACCCCGCAACGTCAGGTAGTGGCAGTCACTGGTGATGGCACTAACGATGCGCCGGCTCTCAAGCGTGCTGATGTTGGTTTCGCTATGGGTATCGCTGGTACCGATGTGGCCAAGGAAGCCTCCGACATTATTCTCACTGATGACAATTTCACCAGTATCGTCAAAGCTGTCATGTGGGGTCGCAATGTTTACGATTCCATTGCCAAATTCCTCCAATTCCAACTGACTGTCAATTGTGTCGCTATTACTGTCGCTTTCATTGGTGCTGCCTTTGTCTCTGTAAGTCCAACACTTTCTTTTATTCACACGCCTCTTTTCTCTATCGTTTGAAGTTGGTTTTCTGTACATTTATCCAACCCATGTAGTGTAAGACTTTTAAATTAGAATCCGAAAGTTCATTTCTTCTGTAGTCTCTGTAGTTATAAATTCCAAGCTTCATTGATGCATTTACGCACATGGCGTTTAGCCACATTTTATAAGGCGAGATGTGTTCAGAAATGAGTTACGTGTGTGGTTATTGGTAAACCATAGCATTTCAAAGACGTTCAGGGCTTTTTCTGTTTTGTAGCAAGAACCCAAGGTCTTTTAAGTCACTGCAGTTCATCGTCCATGAGCGAACCCCTTTGAAACTGATATTTCCTTCTTGCTATGACTAGACGAATTGATCGCGCCTAGGTTAACTGCCATTTGCCAGATCTTAGCGCGAAGGCTTACTCTACATTTATTTCACTTGTGAATTACAGGAATAAGTCAATAAGTAAATAGGTGTATCCTCGCAATTAAATGACAACAAATGCCAACTATCACAACTCTGTAAATCCAACCATGGGAGTGGCATCGCCAGCCAATCCTTAGGAAATGGTAAATTCGGGTGTACGCCCTCTTGCCAATTTGCAAATGTGCACTGCATTCTGGAACTGTTTTTTTCTTGCAAAATTCAGACAAATGCAGACCTTACCTCGTGAGAATCACTTTTCGCAACGCTCAGTCAGGTGGTTTTTTTTGTGCCTGTGATTGGATTGAACAAAGCACTTCCAGATGTTTAAACCATGGAAGCTTTTTTGCTCTAAGTGGCGCCAATAGCCACTTGGGTGGTGGTATATAAATCGTTTTCAGAAATAAAATATCCATATCGCATAATACGCTCTATGCACCTTCTGCTCATAATTAGTGTCTTTGAGATGAAATTTTATTTTTGGGACCTTGTGCTAGTTGGTTCTTCATACTTGTGTTGACCTGAGGTTTTTTTAAAACCCTATAGTGAGCTTTTTACAGGTAATGGAGCTACGCTCCTAACTTGATCTCTAAAGTGGCTAGAGGATCTTCGTGGTTAGTATTAGTGCGATTTCTTAAAAATAGTTGCAGCAATTGACTCTTTAACTAGAACGATTGGATTAATCCATACTCCAAGGGCTAACGGTGATCTTCTTCAAGTAGATCAAAGTCTCTCCAATTGCTCGTGATCTTTGTAATGATCAGACAACGACATACGCCTTTCTAGAACTATTTATCTGTTTGTTTTTTTATAGGATAGTCCACTCAAAGCAGTGCAGATGTTGTGGGTGAATTTGATCATGGATACGTTGGCGTCTCTGGCCTTGGCCACTGAGTTACCTACACCGGAGTTGCTTGAGCGCCAGCCCTATGGCCGAAACACGCCACTTGTGAGCCGAAGCATGATGAAGAATATCCTTCTGCATGCCGCATACCAACTTGCCGTTATTCTCGGGCTCCTTTTTGCAGGCAGGTCTTTTCATTTGTGTCCATCCACTCCTCGTATACTAGGCTTGATTGCACTGCTCTATGAACTTTTCGCAAAGATTGTAGTTATAGAATCTTTGCGAAAAGACACCATATTGCTCTTTGAGTCAACCTTGCATATTGATGGGACAATGCAAGTCACTTGCATAGTTAGGAGGACCGAAAAGAGGTCTCGCGGAAATCCATATCCACCTTTGACTGTAATTTTAGGCAATGCATGCAAGTGCGAATTAATGAAGCATAGTTATTATTGTTGTTCAGTCGGTCTCATCTCGATATGAAGATTGATTGTCTGAGATTACCGGTCATTATGCTTGTTTCTAGGCTTTTTCCTATTCCAAATCTCAGATGTTTACTGTTATCCTCGGAATCTTCTATTTACCGATGTTACATGTTGATTTTTTTAAGTGCCTCGTTTTACTGATCATAACTTTTTCAATGTCTCTAAAATACTTATTATACGTTGAAGACCAGATTCAAATTCAATTTGCTCTATAAAATATGCGCAAGTACCTTACTGGTCTGGAGTGGATTTTTAACCCCCTTTTGTGATGATTAGCCATGCTTGTTGGCTTGGCTAGTGAGTGAAAAGATAACATCAGTCGAACCGCCTATTATAAAATTTTAAGTCAAAAAATGTGTTTTGATATAAAATTTTGTCCAAAAATAGAGGTATTTAAATTTAATGAATTTATCCCACGTTCCAAGCACATATTGAATCACTTACCTGGTTGATAGAATAGCCAATATGAAGGATAGCGCACTGTGCGTTTTTTTCACCATTTTATGTCATAGGTTCAAGTTCAATTAGCATATTTTGAAATTATTGTAATCCATGGCAATTCTTCTCCACTGTGTTTTCTATTTAAAGGAGTTTCTATCTCCCCTTTTCATACTAATTTGAGTGGTTCAAATGTTCAAATGTAGCATGCATGTGGATATTGAGCACAAAAGCAATCCCTCCATTTTCTTGCTCATTGAGCATTTATAATTCCTGGTAGAGTTGGCCAGTGACATCACAGCCGCAAACTGAAAATTATCCTATTTTTTTCAAAATAGCAGGTCGAATTTATCTGACTCTTTTTGGCATTTGGCCAAAAAAGGCGGCGACACGCTTTTCACTACCTCATACCTTTAGCTTATTTAATATTTGAGGAAAGTTGAAGTTGCCTCCACAAAACGGAGATTGTGAAGACTCCGAACATTATGTGAGAGAGGGGGGAGAGCGAGTTTATTCACATTAAACGGAGTATCCAGAATTAAGGTTTACCAGCCAGGTATCTGATTTTGTCCACTAGCTATTCCACTAGACTATACCTTCCACTGCCGATCTTCACCGCCACGACAGAACAGGGAGAAGTCATTTACGTCAAGCAGTTTTACTAATAGATAGTCTCAAATTTCAAGAAGTGGGAATATCAAGGCAAATTCGGATGGTCTGTGAGGTTCCTGAACGCAAGAGCAGAGACAACAAAAGGCGGTTATGTGAATCCATTTTAACAGACAAAGGATCCGTGGTGGTATGTATGTACAAGGTTGTTTGCATAAGAAGATAAATGAAGACATTTTGGTTTAAATGAATTATCCTTGGTAGTTGTCTTTATCAACAGTGCCATTTCTAGCTTATTTTGAGGAATTTAAAAATAGTAGAGATCGGATGATTTGATTAGGTGTGACCCTAGCATTAGAGAGTTGGGGGGGGGGGGAATCCATTTGCTGAAGTATCGATTCTAATTCACCTAAAGGAGGTCATCGTCTGTATCGATTCATTGAGTTGGCCAAATGTGATTGGGTGTGAGTGCAAACAGTGAGTACTTATACTCCCCCTCTCATTCATAGAGTGCATACTCATTCACTGTGATCATTAAAAATGATTCGATCAAGTGTACCCTCCATAAAGTTCCCTATTGTATGATAGCTCCATTTCCTTTCTCTGTGTATGAGGCGGGGGGGGGGGGGGGGG